CTTGGTACACAGAGGTCGGAAAACACGCCTACAAGCCGAAGAGTCAGAGAGGGGACTGGTACCAAGCAGGGACTTGGTACACAGAGGAGGGCCGAAATACCGGCCCTCCGACAACGTGCGGTTAACGCCCGAATGGAACCCACACGCGAATCGTCCTCGAAGCGTTAATCTCTCGAACGCGACACTACGTCGATCAACTAGGACGGTCAAGTCTAACCATGCGATACATCTCGCCAAAATCATAGAATCAAATTACTCACACGAATACTCCTAGGCCCTTTATGTATCCGATCCATAATCTTTTTGACACAAGAATCGGTTAGGCATCGTGCACGAGGCTCAAGATAAATACAGTGCGGACGCAAGTTTTCTCATATCGACTAACCATGCATGAATACGCAAGCAGTCGCTGTCAATGCGAATACCCTTACAAGGGTATCCGCCCTGTTTTTTGCAAGCGACAGGAAATAAGTTTAGTTTTAAGTCTAGGTATATCGTGCGAGACGCGGTTGTGTCTGTGGTTTACGATGATTGAATGGCTGACTAGAGTAGAGAGTATGTGGGCGCGCAGACTTAAGGCGCGCATGATCTCTTTTCCCTTTGATGATTGTGGAAACCGGCGGTGGTCGCCGGACTGATTTCTTTTATTCTGATTAAACTAGGATTAACAAGATTCTGTTCCGTGATTGGTGTGATTGTCTGTGATTTGCGCGTATGTGCGGAGGACGATGTCGACAACAATGTGATTCTGAAAATGTTTCGGTAGGTCTGCGCGTCTCATAGTATCGGTTTATTTAGGTGTTTGTCGAGGCTAGACCCAACCATGGGCCTAATATTATTGGTTGCAACGTCGAACTTTCATCAAGGAGATTCAGGGATCGAGATCAAGTTGCGATGACATAGGGATATAAGAGTAGCGAGAAGGAACCGAAGGGTTGAGGGTCCGACGGGGCTGGTTTTGCCGTCGGCGGCGTTAGAACGGTGCTAGCATTTTCCTTTTTCGTCATATTCTATCGATGAAGAGTTCTAAAAAGAAAAAAAAAATTATTTATTTACCTTATTATTTTGCTCCGGCGTTCCTTAACTCAGTCGTGACGCTGGATTCGGAGGTCGTCGCGGAGGTCGAGGACCTTGAGCACGCGTTTTTTTTTTGTTGACCTCTATCCTAACCGTTTTGAAACGTGGACCAAGGGGTTTAACGTAAGTATGAACTAGATGATGATTAGCCTACGGGAGAGAGTTAGATTGTGAAGTATGTCCGTTGGGATCCGGAGAATGGTGGACTGTGCCTGCGTGGAGCAGCTAAGGGCACAGCAGCAAGAGCCGCAGGTGGGGCACCGCGGTCTGTCCTGCGGAATCCCCCTTCCACCTTGATTTTTAAAAGTCTTCATTTGAATATTTGTTACTACCTCCCAGGTCTGCGACGGGGCCGCTTCACCGAAACCCATGCTTAGGCACACAACAGACACACGCCCTCGGCCCCGGAGCTTGCTATGAGAAGCCTGAGTGATGCTTGTTTGCTGAAAAGCTAAAGGAGTGGGGGGGTCTGTTTGAAGGGACCTCCTTGTGAAGGCATGCAGCGACACTGTGTGTAGATCGTTTGTCGGCCTTGGGTACGAAGGGTGAAAGACTAATCGATTTGATCTGTAGCTGACCACGTCAGAAGCATCCCGCAGAGCTTGCCAGACCGACGGAACGCATCAGGTTATACCGGTTGCTGACGGACGCTAGGTGGACGTTGAGACGAGTAGTGGAGCGTAGCGCTGGTCTGGGACGACGAGTACGGCGACGAGAGAAGAAAGGATTAGGGAAAGGAAATCAATAAGAAGGGAGTGACGAACGCAGGAAAAGGAAAGCAAACTTGACGATAATTCACGTCGGATGCATTCGAAGTTTGAGATGGAGGGACGGAAAGAAAAATGGGCATGGCAGGGAGGACAAATGCCTACCCCACCCGATTCTTGATAAAATCAGTCAGGGGAAAATGTTAAATAGGGGGTTTAGGGGCGGGCGACCCCGAATGTGCAGTAGGATAAGAGGTAGGAGAATTAGTGCGCCGAGTTGTGGCGGAAGAAGGGAACAACGGGGAGAAGAACTCGAGATACCACTTGATTCTTGACGGATTTTAGTTGAGTAGGATAAGAGTTTTTAGATAAGGCGATTTCAATGGCGTGGTTAGTTTTGGGTTTAGTTGAGTAGGACTAGAGTTAGATACAAGAGGCACATCGCGGAGAGGTGGTAAAAACAAGCTATGGAAGGAATGACAAAAATGATTTATCGCTCGACTCTCGACGGAATCGAGCGAGTTAGAGTGTTATTCGAGGTTTTTGCTATGTTGCGAGTTGAATGACGACGACTATTTAGCCAACAAGGCAACACAATGGGAGATGGAAAAGGAAAAAGGTCCGTGAAAGAGTCGGGGGAGACGATGAAGTAAGCGGAAGAAATGAAAATCATGTGTCTTGCTCTTTCCTAGATTAAATCGAGCTTATGAAGGATCCAAGAGGAGGTTATGAGGAACTCGGGATCCAACAGACATGTTAGTTTTGTGAAACAGACAGTAGTTTGACCGGTATGTGTTATAGGGACTGCGCGTTTTAACAAAAGATTCATTCGAGTATGCTCGCTACTCCTACAGGAAGGACAACGGACACAATGGTTGAGGTTCGCACACACACACACACACACACACACACACACACACACACACACACACACACATAGAGAGAGAGAGAAAAAAAAAAAAAAAAAAAAAAAAAA